CGCGCGCGCGAGAGAGAGAGAGAGAGAGAGAGAGCGCGAGAGAGAGAGAGAGAGAGAGAGAGAGCGACGGAGTGAATAATATAGAGGTGGTTGTTCTGCCGTGTATAGGCCTAACACAGACACGCGCATGCTATATCTAGCTCGCGCTCATATAAAACCCCGCCTGCCTTATTAGAAGACCGCTCGTGCTAACATCCAATTCGCGAATAGAGTTTGCAATTACATTTTTTCCTCCGCTGTGATACCCGTCTAATCCAGCTGCGAATGACGAATTAATTTACGAAGCAATTTTCGCGCTGGCGCGTACCAACACAAAGGCGCCGTGTAGAGGGTGGGGGAAGAAACAGACGACGGCGAATATTTGCTAAATATATACACACGTGTACGTGACACCTCCTATGCTGCTACAAGCGCGCAGCTATAAATGGGAAACAATGGGTGATACTCCATTAGGAGTGTTCCCAACCTCTAATGTCATTAATGGTTAGGGTTATGTTATAGGTTAGGTTAGGGTTAGGGTTAGGATTTTCAATCATTAATCATTAATCATTAATCATTAATGATATCAAAGTTGGGAACACTCCTAATAGAGCGTTAGCCGAAACAATGATGATCTCTTGTATCTATTCGATCAGGAGTCTATCAATAGATCTATTGGATTTATTGGATCTAGTGGCTATTGATCGACTAATAATGAATCTATTGGATCTATTGGATCTATTGGATCTATTGGATCTATTGGATCTATTGGATCCATTCGCTTTAGACTAGAGACGGACCTGTGCTTGTGGACGAGTTGGATACGAGTAATAGAAAAATCGCCTAACACGCTACCTATCTGATTAACTTAAAGAGAGGTAGATATGGAGGGAGCGAGGTAGCCAGTGGGTGAGAGAGAAACATGTAGAGCGATAGAGTGTGAGAGTGAGACAACGGGAGACAGACAAACAGACAGTCAGTCAGTCAGTCAGTCAGTAAGAAAGATATAGAGAGAGGAAGAGGAACAGATAAACAGAGAGAGCGAGAGAGAGAGAGAGAGAAAAGAGAGAGAGAGGAGAGAAGAGAGAGTGGGGGATAGTGAGGGAGAGAGAGAGACACAGAGAGAGAGAGAGAGAGAGAGAGAGAGAGACAGAGAGAGAGAGAGA